TCATCACATTAAACGATATAGGATGAATATATCTCATATATTTCACGTATCCTTCGAGTGGAATGGTAACTTCGTGACTACCCTCACGACCTGGTAACTACTCCTTCTTGTGCTCACCCCTTGGAAAGTAAGCGTAAGTGAAATTCAATGGCGATGTAAGGTCTACTCATCTCACTTTGGAAAAAACTCAACTGCCAGTCTTTAAATCACCTTATTCACGAATTAATGATAGTTTTGGAAACTACTTTTATCGATAGTTGAATGATTGGCCCGACAAATATAAAGACACTTTTAGCGAAGTCTAATTTCGCCCGCAGACCATCTTCCATTCGAGGGCCCGCGTTTCTATCACAGTTCCTCTGCCAAGACGCCAAGGACAGTGGCTGCTGATAGTCTTCCAAAGGTTCATGAGGAAATTGTGATAACATGAGGGCTGTTAGCATGCTGGATGTTAACAGGAGGTACCATTTTGCGACTAGCTGGCCGGTGGCAGGGTTGTAGCCTGAAATAATTGCTCCAATATCACACATTCGGTTGGAAGTCGTACCTTAGTCTCAACCAAGCCGGTCTAATAGTCAAACTAGCCTCCCTCTTATGATGGAAGTACGCTGCAAAGGTCGATCTGAGTAACAAATAAGTAGTACAGATATTCGAAAGTCGGTTCCACCAAAAGACGACGTCGGATTCCTCTTGACCAGCTGTCGATTGGCTTTACTGGAAAATTCATGGTGACGTTGTTTCCGAGGTAATCTCCTTCGATTCCGATGAAAAAGTGTTATGATTTCGTCCGTCACATGATGCACATCATCAGAGCAAGGTATCATCATCACAACCAAATTCAAGCTGAAGAGTTTTCTTCACTTGAAAATGATACTTTGCTCTGATGATGTTCGTCACATGCCGGACGAAAGCTCAGCATCTTTTCACCGGAATCGAAGGAGATTACCTCGGAAATAGCGGTACCATAAATATCCCAGCAAAGCCAATCGACAGCTGGTCACGAGGAATCCGCCGTCGTCTTCTGGTGAAATCGACATGCTATTCTTTTCACCCAACACTTTCACTCGAAATGGAAGTAAGCTCAACAATTATGAAACCAG